AGAGCAGAGAATGGCCCAAATGTCTATACAAAGGTAGTGAAAGTAGCAAAAGCGTGTTAGGCATGTTTACTAGAACATGCTTAATATATCGACAGTACAGAACATGGCCATTAATTACAACCGGTATTGGTACATACTTGGTAAGTCCTGAGAGATAGTTGCTGGAGAACTTCATCTTGGCCAGAGCTCGCCCAAAGTCAGCGACGGCGGCGGCGAGCCATTCCTCCGGGTCGAAGTGTGGATCAATGCCACTGACATGTGTACCTACAGGCAACCAGTAAATGGGTAGAAGTTAAACTGCAATTGCACAAATTATGTGAAATACTGTAAGACATGGGATGCAGCTCACCTCGACGGCAAACAAAAGCATCGGCCGTTATGACCCTGCGTAAGTACATGGACAGGCATGTTAAGTGCAACAGGGTTAGCATCCACTAAAAATAGCAAATGGGCAGCATCTCTAGTGATATCCTGAGTCATGTATTGTAAGTTTGTTGCTGGTATTGGTGAAATTGAGCTGGACACGGTAATATTTGAACATCACACAGTGTGTAGTAGTGAAATAAACAAGGCATGAACATGCTTAATACATCAACCGTACAAATCATAGTCGTTGCAAGTGGTATTGGTAAGATTCAGCTGGTCAGATCTTACCTGTTAAGTCTGGGGGTAGTCGTTGGGGGACTTCATCTGGGCCAGAGCCTGCACCATGTCGGCGGCGGCGGAGGCGAGGTGTTCCTCTGGGTCAACACGCACAGCGGCCATCGCGCCATGGACCGCCATCAGCTCCTGGCGGGGGGAATTTGGAGGCATGAGGATGTTTCGCAGGCGCCATTTAAGCAATCAGGGCGGGGACGTGATAGAGATCGGTGGGTTACCTGACTGGATCCGAGCAAAAAGTAGATGTGGTTGAAGTTGTGGTTGCGGCGGCGGCGGTTTGAGATGCCGGTAGGGGAGGCGCGAGGGAGGGGGATACTAAGGGGAAGGGGATGCGGTTGGAGAAATAAATTCTAAAATCGTGCGCCTAATGAAAATTTTGGGGCGAAATTTGAAACTTGGGCGAGGGAAACACACAACGCAGACGAAGCATGTAAAATACTCGTGTGCGAGAAAAAAGAAAGTTGGCAGATCCCGTCTCCAAAAAAATGTACACGTGTACTTGATTTTTTTTCGGTCAATGGTACGCCTGGTTTATTAGGAAATATCGCACAGGTAACTAACTTATGGGTCATTAATGCAAAAAACGCAGACGGGTACGGCATAGAAACTGTGTGTTTTATGATCTTCTAATGATTAACACAAAAAAAACGCACACGGGCACACATGCTAATCAACGCTCAAAGCCCTCAAAGGATGCTCTTACCGACATTGTACATTAATACTACAAACTTAAAGTACTACTGGTAATTTTCTCTAATACTACAAACTTAAACTACTTCTCACATGTTGCCATCAGGGCATGCTGGCCAGACGTCGGCGTTCTCCTTCCCGGCCTTGTAGGCGGCAGCCCACCGTGCTTCGATCTCCGCCAAGCTCTCCTCACCACGGCATGCGGCCTCTTTTTTCTTGTGGCGGCGGGACTCTCTTTTGTTGACTGCTTTCTTCCTTTTCCGCTCCTTCTGTGCGGCTTTGGCCGCCTCTAGATCCACCACCCATTCGGCCATGGCAGCCTCAAAGTCAGCCCATGTAACTGTGTGGCCACCGGCGGCGATGAATGATACGTCTCCGTCGTATCTACTTTTCCAAACACGTTTGCCCTTGTTTTGGACTCTAACTTGCATGATTTGAATGGAACTAATCCGGACTGATGCTGTTTTCAGCAGAATTGCCATGGTGTTATTTATGTGCAGAAACAAAAGTTCTCGAAATGAACTGAAACTCCACGGAGCGTATTTTTGGAAATAATAAAAAATACTGGCAAAAGATCAAGGCCAGGGGGCCCACACCCTAGCCACGAGGGTGGGGGCGCGCCCCCTACCTCGTGGGCCCCCTGGAGCTCCTCCGACCTCAACTCCAACTCTATATATTCACTTTCGGAGAGAAAAAAATAAGGGAGAAAGATTCATCGCGTTTTACGATACGGAACCGCCCCAAGCCCTAAAACCTCTCGGGAGGGCTGATCTGGAGTCCGTTTGGGGCTCCGGAGAGGGGAATCCGTCGCCGTCGTCATCATCAACCATCCTCCATCACCAATTTCATGATGCTCACCGCCGTGCGTGAGTAATTCCATCATAGGCTTGCTGCACGGTGATGGGTTGGATGAGATTTATCATGTAATCGAGTTAGTTTTGTTAGGGTTTGATCCCTAGTATTCACTATGTTCTGATATTGATGTTTCTATGACTTTGCTATGCTTAATGCTTGTCATTAGGGCCCGAGTGCCATGATTTCAGATCTGAACCTATTATGTTTTCATGAATATATGTGAGTTCTTGATCCTATCTTGCAAGTCTATAGTCACCTACTATGTGTTATGATCCGGCAACCCCGAAGTGACAATAATCGGGACCACTCCCGGTGATGACCGTAGTTTGAGGAGTTCATGTATTCACTATGTGTTAATGCTTTGGTCCGGTACTCTATTAAAAGGAGGCCTTAATATCCCTCAGTTTCCACTAGGACCCCGCTGCCACGGGAGGGTAGGACAAAAGATGTCATGCAAGTTCTTTTCCATAAGCACATATAACTATATTTGGAATACATGCCTACATTACATTGATGAATTGGAGCTAGTTCTGTGTCACCCTATGTTATGACTGTTACATGATGAACCACATCCGGCATAATTATCTATCACGGATCCATTGCCTACAAGCTTTCCATATATTGTTTTCGCTTATTTACTTTTCTGTTGCTATTGTTACAATCACTACAAAATACCAAAAACATTACTTTTGTTATCATTACCTTTTGCTACCGTTACCACTACTATCATATTACTTTGCTACTAAATACTTTGTTGCAGATATTAAATTTCCAGGTGTGGTTGAATTGACAACTCAGCTGCTAATACTTGAGAATATTCTTTGGTTCCCCTTGTGTCAAATCAATAAATTTGGGTTGAATACTTTACCCTCGAAAACTGTTGCGATCCCCTATACTTGTGGGTTATCAAGACTATTTTCTGGCGCCGTTGCCGGGGAGCATAGCTCTATTCTTTGAGTCACTTGGGATTTATATCTGCTTATCATTATGAAGAACTTGAAAGATCCAAGAACCAAAATTTATCCCTCAACTATGAGGGGAGGTAAAGAACTGCCATCTAGCTCTGCACTTGATTCACCCTCTGTTTTGAGTAAGCTTGCGACACCTAAACCTGCTTCTGGCATTCATTCTGATATGTCGCATGTTATTGATGATGCCACTTCTGCTATGCATGATACTTATGATGAAACTACTTCTATGCTTGATACAATAATGTAGACATTTAACTTCTACCTATATGCTGCAATTGTGAAAAATTATCTACAAGATGTGTCCCTATCTGCATTAAAGAAGTTCTGAAAGAAGATATGAACCGCCAAATTATTGAGTATAGTAATATAGAGATTTAAATTCTACCTATTACAGTTTTTGTTGCGTGTATACGTGTCACATCCCGACTTAGAGTACAATAAGAATGATAAACTACCCATATCAACAAGGTGAGCCTTTTTTTCAGGAACCCATCCGAAAGGAACCTTAAAGTCAAGCAATTTTAGGATGGGTGATCGACCCAGGAGTTGATCCTAGGTCCGCCCGAGTAAGGACAAAATGCACAGAAACTACTAATGTTGGTCTGTGGGGCCAATCTAGATTCTAGATGGTAGCCGGGCGCAACGGTCAGGAAATGATGGGTTTGGCCGGGGTGTTACAATATGGATTATCGAACATCCTCGGTTAGTTAGCACCCGACACATGTGGTTGGTCCACCCCCATGGTCCATTTTCTATCCCAGTTCGTTTGGTTCTTGATCAATAAAACCTAGCTTTACCGGTTAAAAAAAAGGAGAATGTGCCAACGCTGGCGGAAATCGGAGACCAGCAGAGATTGCTCGTCCTCATGCCATTCTCTGAACATTTTTAAGAAAGCCCTGAAGATGATGATTCTACTAAGCTTGTCTCTGAGGCCTTGAAGATCGCCTCTGATCTGTATGCGTGTGACGGTATGAGGTTTTAGTTTTGACCCCATTGATTTTTTTTCTAATGGATGAATTGATGGTTTGTGGTGTAAACGGATGATCCGCCTTATAACTCCATCCAATCCATAATAATCGGAGTCGGAGGTAGTACATTGCAAAGTAGTACCAGCCAGGTTGTGATTCAAACAGCTTAAGAAGCAGAAGCAGACAGGGTAGTACGAGTAAATTCTTGGAATACAAAATATTAGATCTAGATACGCCCAGAATAGGTCCTATTCTTCTACCTTTTCCAGGTAGTCGATGGCTATTCACAGCTACCACCTGGCGGAATATTAGGGGTAAAATGGAAAATAAGGTGAATGATATAGCATGTTCCAACACAGGCAAGGCAGCGTAGCCAGCAGAGATACAGAATCAGAAACAGAAGTCCAGCACATATGAACCAATCATACAAACTAATCAAATGACTACCTTATGTATATGCCAAACTGATCAATCCAATGGCGCCAGCAGTATGTATCTTTGCCAACACAAGAAAGAATGTCCATCCATCCAGTGGCACCAGCAGAGTATGCGCCAACAGAAGAAAGAAACTGCTTCATTAGTTCATTCATTCATAGGTAGGCAGCAGCCCAACTCAACATTATTAACCTAGCAAAATCTGTTGCATGGGAGATCTATTAGTATATACCAGCCAACAATTAGCAACAAGTTCAATGTGATCACACAAGATTCACTGTATACCAGCCAACAGAAGAAGAATGCACAAGTGTACATGCTATGCCTACCCCAACTTCGTCGGTGCGTCTACTCTACCACTAAACTCAGCAACACTCTCCTCCATAGGCAGCAGCCCAACTCAACTTTGATCCAGCGGAATCTATTCACTTGAACTCTCATCGCCAGGATGTTCTCTCTGGGAAGTCTGTTGGCTTGAACCCTCATCAGCAGCATGTTCTATCTGGGAAGCCTGATGACTTGAACTCTCAGCTGGAGGAACACGCGGGTAGATGATTTCGTAATGGTTTGCCGAGTACAGCAGGGTCACTCTCGGACGGGGAACTCCGGGGACAGTGTAGATATCTGGATCATATCCTCCTCGGACTCGCTCCACTCTGAGGGGTATCTCAAGCGCTCTGGCCAAGGCCACCATCATGACATGATCCGTGAACCGACGAGCTGGAGTGACGCGCTGAAAGCACCACTGTTCGTACAACAACAACAGGAGGTTAGGTAAGTTGAGTGTCATGTATCCAGGAATGGATGCATTGGAAATCAGCATGAGGTAATGTACGGGAGGATATGCATCACTCACATCTTGAAGATTGTAATTTCCACTGAGCCCTGGTATAAGCGGTTCATACACCTCGTCGTGCCAGCATATCTCGACAGCTACTACTAATCTGAGGAAAATAAAAACTATCCAAGAAAATGAGTCAGAAACATGAATTACATGAGAACAAAAGGAAATATGACTTCAAGGGTGTTTTTCTCACTGTCTTGCGTCGTATCGTACTCGCTGAAGAACTCGAGAAGTTCCTCTTTACGGTAGCTAAAAATGGCACATATTATGTCAGTGAGATGGAATGCATTCGGCCACAATACTAATGATGGAATTGCAGAAAACCAAGCGAGTCAAAAACCTGCTAGTTGATTCCATGCCCTTCCACCTGCCATGACTCTTCCATCTCATTACTTTCTCGATCAGATTCTTAAATGCCTGAAAGAACCAGCGACGCAATAATTCACAGTTGATAATCACATATCATAGGTTACAATGATACATACAGATACTGATCAAATGATCAATAGCAAGATATAAAAGAACACAGCTAAGACAACTCGCCTGAGAAGCTTCAGTCATTAAGCATATACTATAGCATAGTAACAGAACAGTGTGATGCCTATACAATAACAATCAGTAGGTGCGCACTGTTACAGTGCTCAAACAAGCATAAAATTATGTTATTTCCTCATTATATTGCCGGTGTTCCTTTGCAAGTAAATTTTCTTAAGCCCGTTGGTACCATCGGGCTGTTAACTTTACAATAAACTTCAATTCAGTTATTGCCAACAGTGTGTAAAACTGTGACGGCATCCAACTACTGTAAAGCAATTGTGCATCTCCTGCAAGTGACAAAGATAGTGAGATGCCAGATGCAGAGATGCTGCTTGAAGTGTACAGTAACCTGAATAGAATCATTATCCCTTGCAAGCATGTTTATCCAAGAAATAACAGTTATGGACAAGGCGAGAACTTACTCTGCTGCTCCTGGAAAACTCAGACTCGTTCCATCGAAACTCAGACTCGTTCCATCGAAGAGCTGCAAAGTGCAGATTCACCATATCAACAGCCTGAAGGAGACGGTGTTCCTCATGTGTGTCCTGCCTATCAATAACTTGCTCCTGTTGTACATTCGCGAAAACAGAGAAAGTCAAATAACTAAACCTACATCCTATGATAAGGAAAAGAGGGGAAACTTACAAGGTACGAAAATATGAAACTCCTGTAGAAACACTCCCCATCTCCAATCACCGATCTACATTCCGAATAGGCATCAAGATGGTTCGCCTCATCAGAAGCAAGCTTATGATGCCTTCTGACTTCAGTGATGGGATGTGTCTGCAACGAACACACAAATATGAGAATTCAAATTACGCTGAGTTGAACATGGAAACAACATATCTAAAAATGTGATGGAAATTTTGTTTTCATTCAAATATTCAGGTTTCCATGTTCTCTGGAAATGTTTGAAACCACTAGTATATAATCCCATCATTGATACTGATCGGTTGTTGTTCGGTAACAAAACAAGAAGATATCTATTAACACATGATAAACTCAACAACAGTAAAAGTACGATTCAGGTCCCATCAGACTATCACAACCAAGAGTGAACATACAATTTAGTATTTATAAAAGAGAACATAATCTTTCTGAACAGTTGATTGTACATGAACCACTCATCACAGTATCTTGTGATATAGGGCTTTGATCCTGATTTTTTGCACTTCCATTTTGAACATTACATTAGACAAAATGGAGACAAACCTGGTGCTTCACATGTTCCGAACATATTTCCCTTCCTTTTCTACGAATCTATTTGACAGGAAATGAAGAAAACAAAGTTAAAGACCATACATCCTGCCAGTCTTACAATTAAACAGAATCAACAAGAAGATCGGGTATTTCGAAACAAGAAAAAAAAACAATGATACATAGCAAGACCACAAAACATGTGTCCAAAGCTTCTTTATTTTTTGCAACTATTTACATGAAATTATTCTGAGGCTTCTGAATCAGTTCCAGGCACCAATCGCCCAAATGGCGAAACTTCTCGACTAAATCCTAAAGTGGTTGCCGATTTTGCATGTAAATGGCAACTGATTTACAGGAATTATTATATTCATTTACGCAGTCTTGAACTAATGTCTAGATTAAAGTTTCTGATAACAGCATCCGTTTACAAAGGAAGCTCATACATTCGACTTCAGGCTCTGTTACCAAAATATTGTAGTAATCAGGACATGACCTCATGATTTCCCCGCATTTTACAGATAACAGTTTCAACAAGATCATAGCCGTTTGCTTCAGAATAAGATGACAGATTGTGGAAAGACCCACGAGCGACAAGGACCTGTGTACTGCTGCCAACATATGCCCAAGATTCCCCCTATATTCTAAGGATGCCACATGACGCTCTAACCAAGATTCAGATAATGTACGTCAAGTTAAGTAATCCCAAGCAAACCTTCAGGTTAACTTCCCCTATAACGCTATTCATCTACACTGGAAACTGATACATTTTGGCATCAAGATTTATTGCCAAAATATGACAGTCAGCAACCACTGCCAAGACATGATCCCCACATTTTTCACTTGCAGCAAAAGTGCAAAACATGCTATCATACCAAATAGAAGAATCAATTAGCACTGAACAAGAACAAGAAAATTAAGTAGCAAGCCTGGGAACCTAAATCTTGAGCAGTTTCGAATAATCACAACAAGATCCTCGCCTGTCTCTAAATCTCATAACGCGCCGGCTGCAAGAGGAACTCGTGTAACAATCAGAAAATACCTAATCCTCAAACTGTCCCCAAGATTCCATTTCTACTACTCTAAACTAAATCATCCCCAAGATTTCAGCAGGCTTAGAGATCACAGTTCCAATTCCACATCCCGAACAGAAAGATCGGCACACGGAAGCTAAGAAGTGCCAGATTCATGCCATACCTGTTCCTTCCGCTCGAGCGCCTCCTCCGCGCGCCACGACCTGAACATCGCAGGAGAATCCAATGAAGCGCCACGAGCACGTCGCAGCATCGCAATGGTCACCACCTGCCGTGTCCACAGCGCGTTCGCCACGTCGGCGGCCGCCTGCTCGATCGCCAGCCGCTGGTCGAACGCCAGCCCGGAGCCGGACGGCCCCGCCGCCGCCGCGTCGGGGTCCTCCCTCGCCGGCGACACCACGGGGTCGTCGCTCCACGTCAGCCACGGTCCGAAGGAGTCGTAGTCGAGAGAGGGGGCGGAGGAGCCTCCGGCCTGGTCGAGGGGCGTCGCGGCGGGAGGTGGCGGCGCGGCGGCGCTCGGGGCCCCATCCCCATTGGAGGAGGCGCTGGAGTTGGAGTTGGAGCCCCCATGGGCCGGTTCTTGGTGGTGGTCGTCCTCGGCCGGTTCTGCTGCTCCTGAACCGGAACCGGACGGTTCCATCGCGTCGCGGCGGGAGAAACTCGGAGGACTCGTGTGGCAATTCCGCGGACTCGCGAGGGTGTGGAGAGGAAACGTGTGGAGGGTGCGGGATGGAAAAAGGGGGGAGGAGGACTATTTAT